CTGCTGCCGTTGCCTCCGCCGCTGCCGCTCGTGCACGCTCCCCCTCTTCTTCTTTCCCGACCCGTACCGAGCGGAGAGGATTCACTTAGGGAGAGTGCGGGAGAGTTTACGGCGAGCCGCACACACAGCAGCCAGTGCTCATTTGTCGGCCCGCAGAGGAGAGCCCCGGAGAGAGAGAGAGAGACCCCGCGGCGGGCGAGGAGGAGCCCCGGGGAGCGCGCGGAGGGGAGCGCGCGTCGCGGAGGGAGCCCCACAAAGTATACGCAAAGGGCGTGCGGCGCGCCCGCGGCGGTGCGGTGCGGGGCGGGGCGGGGCGGCGATGAGGCGAAGCATGACGTGATCGTCTTATCGTCCGCGCACAGAGTAATCTGCGTCAACAGACTGGCGCGGCGTTAGAGACGCGCCGAGGCGGGGCACAAACTTCTCTATAGCCTCCTGCTCGCGGGGCTGCCGGGCGGTGTTCCCCTCCTTTTTTTCACGGTCAGCACGTGCGAAATAATACGTCGTGGTTCCGCGCCGTGGTATAGTAGCGGGACAGAAAGTGCAGTATGAGAACCGAGTCTATCACAACAGGATTTGTATTTACAAGGCTTAATCTCACATGAACAATTATAGCTATTTACACAGAAAAATATCATACACACACAAAAACAAAAGTCTCTCAGGTTTGATGTCAGTGGTTTGCGACCAGGGCTCACACCTTGGCCACCTTTGTACTCTTCTCGCGGGAGCTGGCCTTCTCGGCAGGCTTTGGTAGGAAGCCGTAGATGGCCGGAGACAGGAGGTCCCTGTTGATTGTCCTGAGGTCCTGGGGCCCCGTGAAGAGGCTGACGACCAGTCCGACCACGACCACGATCAGGGCCCCCAGGAGCGTGTAGTAGTAGTACGAGATTCGGTAGAGCACGAACGTGTCCTCGGGGTTCGTGTGCATCTCCGTGATGGAGTTCCTGAGTCGATGAGGGAAAGGTAACGCGTGAGGAAGGGGAAGCGCGACAAAAGGGGCGGCGGCGGACGCTACCCGGGTACTCACGTCCACGTCATGTCCTTGTCGTGTAGGATGTCGGTGACGTTGTTGGCGCAGCCGTCCACTCGGGTGGGAAGCCACGGGTACGTCAGCTGCTTGCTGAATATCGCCGCCTGCGACCCGGTCACGATCCAGCCCATGAAGAGCAGGCTGCACAGCCCTCCAGCCATGGCACCCTTCGGCAGCGATCAGTCGGTTAGTCAGGCATTATTGTCACTGAAAGGGGAGAGGGGGGGGGCAGTGCTCACCTTGACGTTGGCCCAGGGGACGAACAAGCCCAGGACGAAGAGCCCGAGCTGGGCGCCACCCGTGATGCCACTCAAGGTGTACGTGACCTGCAGGACGCTGCCCAGCCTCTCCACGACGAACATGAGCGCCATGCACAGCACGCCCACTATCAGCGCCAGTCCCTGGAAATACCAGTTGCTCATGACGGACTCCACGAGGTTCCCCACAGAGGTACTTACCACCAAAGAGGTACTTCACTCGCGAAAAAAAAAACTCAAGAAAAATCGGCGTATGATTGGATTTGTAGTGAAGCATCCTTTCGTACTTACCTTGATGATGAGCGAGGCCTGGAACTCAGTGGGCGCTCTGTCACGGCGCGCCAGGCCGTGGACCAAGAAGTCCTCGTAGATGGTCCCCGCCAGGGTGTTGAGCCCCGACGACATGGTGCTGTAAGCATGGAAGATGGAAGTCAGGCAGGTCCCCGGTCCGCGGCTATGGAGCCAGGGCCAGGGCTTACCTGAGGGCGGCGCTGAACACGCCCGCCACGAACAGGCCGGCCAGCCCGGGCACCGAACGGGCCACGTCCATGACGAAGAACGGCACCAGCTGGTCGGGCTTCTTGATGGAGCGCGTCTTGAGCGGGTCGCACTCGTGGTAGGTGGCGAACACGAGCAGGCCGGTGACGCAGCTGAGCCCCTTGGTCAGGATGTACCCGGCGCACAGGATGACGGCGGCCCTGTCGGAACGACGACGAGGAAATGTCGAAATGAGGGCTCTAAATCAACATCGAAAGGATTTGGCATCATTTCGACAGGCCGTTTTTCAGGGGTGGGGGTAGGGTAGGGTTGCCGCGTTAAAGGATAAGACGATACCTCAGAGCGAGAACCGCTCAGTCTCTGCAGGAAAGCCTATTATACTGAGCGGTTCTCGCTCTGAGGTATCGAAGACTGTCACTCACCACTGCGCGCTGCGAAGAGTGGGAACGCTGAGGAACCGCTGGAGGGCGGTGGGGTGAACGGCGTGGCTAGAGGCGATGTCTGGGATGGAGCCGACGAACACGGTCCAGAAGGTGGTCCGCGTCAACGGGTCCGGGTTCATACTGGGCGCACAGAAAAACAGCCATCGAGAAAAAGCCCACTGATAAAGCGTTCAGCCAGTATCAAGGTAGCTGATTCAGCCCATCTTTCACCCTTGAATAGTTAAACTGTACGCAGCAAACCAGCCAAGGGAGAAAAAAAAAGGGGTTCGACCAGGTAAACTGACCACTCTTCTAAAAAAGATGACGCGTGAACTTCGACCAATTGCATCAAAATGAAATGCTTTAGTTTCAAAAACAGGTGTACCTATTATATTTGTTTGCTCACACTTTGCCACACAGCTCGCGTGGATGCGGGGTTAATCAGCCACCTGGTATACTGTCACTCTACGGTGTACGTTAGCCAGTGGAAGCGAAGAGAGAATGGTGAGTAGTACTCACTCGAAGAACACCAGCCTCCCGCCGCTGTCGGCTCGGTGGATAAACTCGCCCATTCCGCCCACCATGAGGATGCCCATGGTGATGACCACGAAGGAGGCGGCGACCAGCACCACGAGCTGCAGCGTGTCGGTCCACACGACGGCCTTCAGCCCGCCCTGTCTCAAGCGCAACCACCGGGTTCACTCGATGTAGGTTTGCAGTAATCTCGTTTCCAAACACATTGCCAAAACCATCCTTCCGCTCAGGGGTCAACCAGAGAGTACGTCCGTCGTCAATCGGCGTTACCAACCTGTGAAAGCCGATGATAGCTCTCATAGCTCCTGTTAGGTAGGCAACATCTTTCATGCCATGCATGGGTGTACTACAGGGTGGCCTACCCGGAGTCTCGCAGGCGCCGAGGTCTCGCTATTTGCGGAATGAATCTGATAAAAAACGGACGCACTTTCTGGACGAACCCCGACATACTACCAAACTGCCCTGTGGGTACTTACCACTGTCGTGTAGAAGATACAGATCAACATGACGGCCGGGGCTATGATGTGGAGCGCGATGCCGCTGACTGCAGGAAAACGGAATAGTTTGTAAAACCGGTGGGGCACTAGTCGCACGCGAGTCAGGCGCCCGAGAAAGAGAAGCAGCATCTTTCCTACCCTGGTTGAAGGCCAGGCAGGGGACGTAGATCACGACGGGCAGGTAGAGGAGCTGGTTGGACAAGATACATATCTCGTCAAAAACTGTTGTTTGTAAATTTCAAAAAACGGGGGGGAAAAGTTACACGTACCAGACCCAGGCCGAACAAAAACGATGCTATCCTTCTGACCGACCTGTTGAACCGATGCTCTAGGTACTAAAGAGAAAAAAGAAAATTTACCTTTTAGGAAGACTGAGAATATGCCCTACCACAGGGTCCCTAGTGGGCGCGGGGAGTACGAACGCAACACGCAACACCCACTGACCCTATCGCAGGACCCACCTCGTAGGAGGACGTGAACTGCAGCTTAAAGAAGACGGGCACGAACCACCGGACCACGGCCACGCAGACAAGCACGGCGGACAGGTTAAGGGCCGCGTACTGCGACCCGTACGTGTACATCTCGGCGGGCACCCCGAGCATCGTGATGCCGGACACGTTGCTGAAAACAGCGCACAGACATCGGTACAGGGTAGGGTCGGTATCAGGAGGAGGGGTACCCGCTGCCCGCTGCCAACGCACCTGGCCACGAGTGACATGGCGATGGGGAAGATGCCCATGGATTTGCCGCCCAGCAGGTAGTCCTGCACGGTGTCCTGCCGCTTGTAGAAGCCGTAGTACACGCCGACCAGGGCCGAGATGCACATCATCAGGCCGAACATGGCGTAATCGGCCACCGCGAAGTGCAGGTCCCCGTCGGTGGGGTGCCCGGAGGGGGCGGAGGCCAGCCCCAAGGCCGAGGGCGCGGAGGGCGCCGAGGCGGCCGTGTCGGCCATCGCGCTGGTGCTGGGTGTGCTGCTGGGTGTGCTGCTGGGTGTGCTGCTGGTGCTGCTGGCGGGCGGCGCGTCGCTGGCGTCGCTCCCTCCTGCGGCGCACGCTCCTGTGTCGTAGCAGCCTCCGCACGGCGCGCACTCGCCGCGCCGTCAGCGTCGCCGTCGCGGAGGCGGCCCTGACGGCGACCCTCGCCGCCCCCGCCGCCGCCCCGGCCGCCCTGCTCGCGGCCCTGGCGATGAGGCCGGTCAGGGGCCGCAGCCAGCCCCCCACCGCCGTGGTCGAGGTGGCCTCCTGCACACGAGTGGAAGGGTTGAAATGTCGCCCCCACCCCTCCGCTGCAGTGAGGCTGTGACTGACTGTTAGTCGCCGGCTTCCTCCCCCTCCCCCTCTCCCTCTCTCTCACTCACTCACTCCAGCCTCCTGCGGCCCGACGCGCCCGACCCTCGCCAACTGCTTGCGCCATTATCGAAGTCCTCCTGTCCCGCTGTCGGCCCCAGACGCGCCGCGCGCCTGGGGGTCGCGCCCGCCCCACACATAGGGCGACTGCTTGCTGCCAACTCGACTCACCGCAGGGGGGGCATGCCGGTGGGCTGCTCCAGCTGCTCCAGCTGCTCCAGCTGCACTCATCACTTGAAGACCAGGTAGAGGAGCACGACCATCAGGCCCTGGGCCAACACCACCAGGTCCGCGGACTCGAGGGACTGGCTTGTCAACATGGCGCAGACGGGCGGGAGAGGGGTGGAGAGTGGTTAAGGCCTGATCACTCTCTCTCTCTCTCTCTTCTCCTCTCACAAGCACACTCACACACACACGCGCGCGCGCGGAGGGGATACGCGGTGTTGTGGCCAACTAGGCTGCACGTCGCGGGTCGGCAATATGATGGTCGCCGACTGAAGATGGCCTCTTGGTGTTGGCCAGCCCGAGGCCTGGGGCAGCGCGGACGCCGTCGGCGGCGGGCCTCGGGCTGGACAGAGCCGGTGCGGGCCGCGGAGAGGAGGAGGAGGAGAGGGGTCAATGGGGTAGGCAGTAAACTGCGGCAATTCGCGTCCGCCAAGTCCTAAGGACCTGTCATCTCGAACACCATTGGGCACAGCACGCCAGGAAATCGGTGTCATCTTGGCGTTTCTCTCTCGTCGGTGTCCTCGTGTTTCGTGCCCTTCAGCCCCTGTGTTTGTGCCTTTATATCCCCCGACAACACGCTGGGGCGATCAGAGCAAGGTATGGGACTGCGTCTGCGTGCCGACTGCCGACTGCCGAATGCCTGAGAATGCGAATCCCATCGTCGTTGGACGAGGAATAACTTATTGGACATTCTCAACGCTTTCGGGGCTGCCATATGTATCCCGGAGGAACTGGAAAACTAGCGTGACCACTTGCGTGGTCACGCCACCCGGATTGAACCGTTTCTCATCGTCTTAAGACTCTGCTCTGATATATGGTTCGCGACGACCAACGATGACAACAGCAAGGACTTGACCCCGTCCGAGATCAGCAGTCCGGAAGACCCGATGGTCCCGCTCAGCTCCTATATCCAGACACAACATAACAGGGCACAGTTAACCTTGGCAGCAATGTCCCTAATGGGTCCTGCGCGTGTGGGGCTCAGTCCGCTGCGCTCAGCGGTAGGCTCCCGGGGCCGCCAACAGTGTACCCTGCTTCGCCTCCGTCGCGACTTAATAGAAGTGAAAAAAATACTATTCGACAAAGCCAAGTTTCGGGTCCAAAATAGTTTTTGGTTTGTGAAACAGGTTGCTCACAACCTAACACACGAAACTAGGGTATGGATTCAAGCGTAGCTATTATCAGAGAAGTCACAATAATTTAACTGAAAATACAAAAAAAAATATTTAAAAAAAATCGTTGATTATTGAAATGAGCAATGGCGAAATTTGTAACCAAACTCATCCAAAAATGCATTGGCTAGTACTAGTGTAGTACTAGTAGTACTAGTGTTTGATCCCGTCGGACAGAAAGTGGGTCTCGAGTCTCGACCGATAGTCGTGACAGCCGCCCGCACATCGTCGATTTTCCCGCGCGCGGCGTGAAGCGCTCAGGTAGTGCCATCTAGCGGCGGAGAGCAGAAGTACTGAAACGGAGTATTGACAGATTCTCCCGTGTTCCATGTTCGTTTAACTGACGCGGAAAAGTTTTTCATACGT